ATATTTCTTTTCTTTTTCTTTACTATATTCTTATTTTTTCTTTCTTTTCTATTTCTTTTTTCCTTTCTTTTCTGTACCTTCTATTTTTTATTCTTTTTTTTAGTTTGTATTAGTTTTTACATCTTGTAATCTTTAATAAAATTACTATTAAAAAATTGTGTAAGCATATTTGTACCACCATGCTCAAATTTTTCTTTCTCTATCTTTTTCCAGTTCACTTATACCTTTGCACATATTTAAAAACAGGAAGCCACAATTTGTGCTAAAATGTCTTCTAGGCTGTTCCCCCAATTAATAAGCTCCATTTCATTCTTACCTTCTGGAAATACTATAAAAATACCTATTCAAAATTGGATTATATAGCTCAGGATTACGTTCAGAGCATGGAGAAAAACCAATCAACATGCATCTAATGAAGTGAACTACAACTCATGAAAGCTTATGCCTTTTAATATAATTTGTTAGTTGGAAAAGGTGCTACCAGATTTCTGACTTTTTGCTACCGTAGACTAACACAGCTTTCCCTCTAAACAGTCAACTTCATTAATTTTATTTTGTGATACTGTTAGAGAGGATTATTTGTGTTATCTAGTGATGTATAAAGCTGCATTGTCCTTTTCCAGAATGTTCCAGTGTGTCCTGGAATATTCCATTTCGCCTGCAAAACATGCTAATCTGAAAGTAGTCTGTCCTCTGCAATAGGCAAGGGGTGATTTGTTCATTTTTGGAAATGAAGTTTAAAGAACAGTAAGCTAGAACAGTAGTTTATGAAATTCTAGATGAATACTGGGAAGTAGGAAATTGTGATGTTGATCAGAAAGATTAAAAGTTAGAGGTAGCTTCTTAAAGACTTAAAATGTAAGACGTCATGATTTTATGTAAGTTATAATATATCCTAAATATGCAATCCAATCCTATATGTCCAAAATGGGCATGCCTCAAGGGTGAACAGTAAGCATTTTAAAGTTCACATTGAATCAAATCTGTTGTAAATTATAGGCAGTCCTTGGCTTACGACAGCAATTGGCACTGAAATTGCTGTCACAAGTAACGTGGTTGTAAACTGTAATGACATGTGACTGTGCCACTTAGCGACAGCAATTCTGGTTCCTATTGTTAAGCGAGGACTTCAAGTGACCTCGATTTCCAACTTCCTGCCGGCTTCCCCATTGACTTTGCTTGTGGGAAGCTGGCAGGGAATTTTGGAAATCATAATCACATGATCGTAGCTCGCTGTGACATTGTCCAGGCATCGAGTGCCCAGATCACAATCACGTCACTGCAGGGACATTGCAATGGCTGGAATTCCAAGGACTGGTCGTAAGTCCCCTTTATTCAGCATCATCACAATTTTGAATGGTTGCAGAATGAATGGACATAAGCCGAGTACCACCTGTATTTATGATTGCCTCATATGGTCTGACTTTGTGCAAGCATTATGAACATAATCCATAATCTAGAGGGAACTACAATGTCTCATATTATGTTACAGACTCCTCTAATACTGGGGAATCTCAGCCTGAAGTTCAGAAAGCAACAGGCTATCAGCCACATAAGAGTGATGAATCAGGCTTAGTGCAGATGACTGCTGATTCAGATAGCAAGGGGCCAGACCCTAACCTTGGGAATGTACCAAGGCCTAAACCATGCCACCCACTAAAAAGGGCCAAGCAGTAGACATCAGAATAACTTCTTAAGAGAATGGGCATTAACTCTTCTAATTAGGCACAGCCAGGAATGCGGTGCTTCAGACCCTCTCTCCTTGTTAGAAACAACTCTCCATTACTGGACCCACATTCCTCTGGCCTCAGTTCTTTGGTTTATGACTCCTGGACTCGATATTGTGTGTATCTTCAAATCTAGACTAACAAACTGCAGGGGGCCTGCTCTTCTTGGCTTACTTAAGTTCCGCTACAAGTTACAGGAAAGGAATTCTTTCTCTGCAGAACTTTCCCAGACTAATTTACAGCCCCTCAGTTCTAATGTTATCTGCTGATTGATCTATGACAAAGCTAATAAAACTGTTGGAAATATGCTAATTGCCTTCACTTTCTTTGCTGTTCAGCATGGTGCATGACACATGGCTGCTTAGCTAGCCTTCTCCACCTTTTTGTGCAAAGGATCTTTGCTTGCAGATATGACTTGCACCTCAATTAATCACTCTAACTTTTCCTAGCCAGTAATATATCTGAGTTTGGATTGCACAGTGTGTTCTTTACTCATTTATTACCATAGCACAGAGTGATACTAGACAGAACTAGTCCATAAGAAGGGGTTTCATTTGAACTCCATGTTACAAAAATTAATAATTAAACGACTCTTCATTTTCTTATCTAATGTATTATTTGAAAATATGAAATAGTTAACCTCAGTAATAGAATCTGAATGATTTTTCAATTTGATGCAGCTCTATAAAATAGTCTTCCCTGACCTATGCCCATTGGATACATTGGTCCTGCCAGTTTTCCAAATCTAGCAAGCAGCATGGTCAAAACAACATATTGTCTGGGAACTGTGAGAGCTAACACTATGTGGATTGCTCTAAAGATCTGTTGGATAAAGTTGCTTGGATCTGCTCAGAGTTGGACTCTGGCTGGGTAGGTCCCATGAGATATAGCTCACTTGGTTATCAGGGAAGAGTTTCAACTGGTTGGTTCTGAGGAAGTGGACAAGGTCTTTAGGGCTGTGAGTTCTACCACTTATGTTTTAGATTTATTTATTTATTTAAAACATTTGTACAGGTAGTTCTTGCTTAATGACCATTTGCTCAGCAACCACTCGAAGTTACAGTGGCACTGGTACTTACCCCTGGTCCCTGAATTTACAGCCGTTGCAGTGCCCCTGCGGTCATGTGATCAAAATTTGGGTACTTGGCAGCCTAGCTGCACTTACGACCACAGGGGTGCTTCAATTCCCCCCACCTGCCTATCTCCACCCCATCTCTGCTCTTTTG